GGTCTGTGTGGATTTCATGACGGAAGCCATGTCTTGCTGTAGAGCTCCCCCCAGAGACAAAAGCATATCCTTCAATGTGGTATCAAGTACAGACTTACTCAAGGTAGTAAATGCATTCAGCTGTTCACCACACTCAAATGCACTATTTCCCCTCTTTCCTGACCCACATCTCCAGTCCCTCCTCTGCCAAACTCCTTTTCTGGGCTGTTTGATACTGAATGAGAGGTGTGATTACCTTTGACCATGGGATCAGAGATTAGCGCTGCTGGGGAGATCTGCTGCAGATGTGTGCGTCCGACTCATGGCTCTGGCATCATCTTGGATCGGCATGCCCAAGCCTGGGGTGCAGAAATGTTAGTTTTCACAATCCCTCTCTGTCCTTGCTTATGGTGACTAGCTTCTTTCCCTCTTCCTCTGATGCAGGTTCGCACCAACTTTCTGCCACTGTAAATAGCTGCAGCACTTCCGTTAGTCCGAAGCTTGGCTCCCACAGCTCCATGCACCAGCTCCGCCCCCCCCAATTCCAGGTCTTTCTGAGCTCTCCATAAGTGGTCATTGGCTCTTAGACAACTCTTTTCACTCATGTCCAAAATCTTCCGAGGAACACCTGGTTGTGACCAATTTATGGTGGAATTCTGTTCTTTCCATTTCCTGGATTATGGCCCCAACAGTGTGCACTGGAACATTCAGAAGTTTAGAAATCCTTCTGCAACCAATGCCATCAGTATGTTATGCAACACTAAGAGAGGGGGGGGGGGGGGTGTGTGTGTGTCCTTGGTAATGAGACATCTTTTTATAGGCCATCAGTTGAAAATAAACCAGCTGATATTAATTTACACCAAAGGGGGACAAGATTGCCTTCTAATTACTGAGATTTTAGCTGGTGTTTTGACTTTCCGTGCCTTTTTTTTTGCACCTCCCCTTTCTCTAGGTGTTCCAATACTTTTTCAGTGTCATTCCATTTTATTACACAACTACATTTCTGAACTCGTGTTTTGGTTTCTTTGTATGTAGTGCCTTTAGAAATACATTTACTGAGAAAAATAGTGCCACATTTAATACTTATTTTACCTGATATATTTTTATTTGATTTCCACTATTCTCCCACAGGGCTATTGTATTCTGACAGTAAGGAGAGATCCCCTTCAGAACACAATCAGTTTTGCCAGCTATAGCTGGCAGAACTGATCAAACTGATCAAGCGAACAAACCCACACACGCATAACATTGCAAACCTATTCTACCAAATGAGCCTTTATTCCAGTTGTGCATAAACCTTGGCAGACGAAGCAGAACTAAACTCCCCTCTACCAGTGGTCAAACACCATGTGGCATCTTCTCTACAGCTGCTTTTGAGTGCTGGGTTTAAGACTTCTTGATTGGGCAATCCAGGAAGATATCACTCCCATGTATGCATGGGAGTCATTCATTCCCAACAAACTTACACTGTGCCAGAAACAAACTGTGCTGCATATACATGCTCCAGAAGAACGCAAATAGGCAGGTGAACTTTTGTGCAAAGATACCTTTCATGTTTCTTCTGCAATTAGGAGCCTGCAAGTTTGTTTTTTTTCTCATTTTAGTTTGGCTTTAGGTGACTCTTGCAGACAGCTAATAAAATTATTTGTACAGGTTTAAAAAAAAAAGGGTTTTTTTTTAAAAATGCAACTTTCAAGAATCAGAACATGCAAGTGGTGGGGGGGGGGCTTGTTTTTTTTGCAATCACAGACTCTTTCAGCAATCCTCCAGCTTGCTTGGCTAATGGAAGAAAAAAAAAAACTGCCAAACTTATTCAAGTCATTTAAAGGATTACTCTTTATAATGGAAAGTTCTGCCCATTAGGCTTCATGAACATGGCAGCAAAAGTGTTGTACAGTGTATATCAGTCAGCTCAGCACACAGCCCACTGCTGTCAGTCAGTCAATCAATGAAAGGCTGACATACAAAGCAACCTTATACAGAGATATGACATGCGAGTGGTACTTGCTTATGGGTGGATATAAAAAGTCTACACACCCCTTTTAAAATGTCAGGTTTTGGTGATGTAAAAAAATAAATCTTTTCAGAACTTTTTCCACCTTTAATGTAACCTATAAATTTTACAATTCAGTTGAATAACAAACTGAAATCTTTCAGGTGGAGGTAAGTAAAATTAAAATATATGGTTGCACAAGTGTGCACACCCTTAAAACTAATACTTTGTTGAAGCACCTTTTGATTTTATTCCAGCACTGTCTTTTCGGGTATAAGTATCAGCATGGCACATCTTGACTTGGCAATATTTGCCCACTCTTCCTTGCAAACACTCCAAATCTGTCAGGTTGATTCAGGTCTGGGCCATTCCAAAAATCTTCTTCTGGGTAAGCCATTCCTTCGTTGATTAGGATGTATGCTTTGGGTCATTGTCATGCTGAAAGATGAAGTTCCTCTTCATGTTCAGCTTTCTAGAAGACTGAATGCTTTGTGGCAATATTGACTGGTATTTGGAACGGTTAATAATTCCCTCTACCTTGACTAAGGCCCCAGATCCAGCCCCAAAGCATGCTGCTGCCACAACGCTTCACTGTGGATATGGTGTTCTGTTGGTGATGTGCAGTGTTTTTGTGCCGAACATATCTTGGAATTATGGCCAAAAAGTTCAACCTTGGTTTCATCAAACCATAACACATTTTCCCACGTTTTTGGGAGACTTCAGATGCGTTTTTGCAAAATTTAGCCGAGCTTGGATGTTTTTCTGCATAAAAGGCTCGTCTTGCCACTGTATCCCATAGCCCAGACATATGAAGAATATGGGAGATTGTTGTTAGATGTACCAGTCAGTACTTGTGAGATATTCCTGCAGCTCCTTTGATGTTGTTGTAGACCTCTTGGCAGCCTCCCAGATCAGTTTTCTCTTTTCATCAATTTTGGAAGAACATCCAGTTCTTGGTAATGTCACTGTTGCGCCATATTTTCTCCACTTGGTGACTTCACTGTGTTCCATGGTATACCTAATGCCTTGGAAATACTTTTGTACCCAATACCTTTTAACGATGAGATCCCTCTGATGCTTTGGAAGCTCTCTGTGGACCATGGATTTTGCTTAGGATGCAACTAAGAAAATGTCAGGAAAGACCTACTAGAACAGCTGAAATTTGGGGTTAATCAGAGGCACTTTAAATGATGGCAGGTGTGTACTGACTTCTATTAAACATTATTTTGAACGCAATTGCTTAATACTGAACACAGCTACATCTCCAGTTATAAGAGGGTGTGCACATTGTTTTAGTTTTTTTTATGTTTGCTTCCCCCCTAAAAGATTTCAGTTTGTTTTTCAATTGAGTTGTACAGGTCACTTTAAAAAAAAAAAAAAAAAAAGGGTGGAAAAATGATCACAGAAACCTGACATTTTAACAGGGGTGTGTAGAATTTTTATATCCACTGTAGGTGCTGCACCTAGTGCGCTGTGTGGCCATGTGCATGTACTCTTAAAGCAAGTAAAAAGCATTATGTAGATACATTTTCAAAAAAAAAAAAAAAAAGTAAGTGGTTAAAGCTAGAATGATCAGATCAGTACAAGCGTTACATGGACTACTTTACACAGTTTGCAGTTAACTTTAACCACTTAAAAGACTTGCTCCCCTTTCCTGACCAGGCCATTTTTTTGTGATAAGGCACTGCTTTATTTTAGCTGAAAGTTATACAGTCATGCAATGCTGTACATAAAATAAAGTGTCATTTTATTTTTCCCCCCACAAAGCCTTCTTTTGGTGGTATTTGATCGCCTCTGGGTTTTATTTTTTGCGTTCTAAAACAAACTCAAAAAAAAAAAAAAAAAAAAAAAAAAAAAAAAACTTTACTTTGATATAAAACATCCAATATTAAAAATAAATAAAATTGCTTCATAAAATTTAAGCCAATATGTATTCTGCTACAGATTTTTCATTAAACAAAAATCCCAATAACCATGTATTGATTGGTTTGGGCAAAACGTTCTATGGTGTATATTTACTGGAATTGTTCTTTTATTATGCTAGTAATGGTGGCAATCAGCAACTTATAGTGGGACTGTGATATTGCAGCAGACAATCAGACACTGACTGGCACTTTGTGGGAACCAGTGACACCAATACATTGATCAGTGCTAAAATTATGCACGGACACTGCACTAATGACCCTGGCTGGGAAGGGGTTAAATACCTAGGGTGATCAAGGGGTTTACTGTGTGCTGTTTTTACTAAGTAATGTGCTGGATTATATTCCCTGCTTGCAGGGAAAGAGAAACCGGCACATTGCCATTGACAGGACACAGCTCTGTCTTGTTTACATAGGCAGATCTGTGTTCTGTCAGTCTCCGAGATGAATAGGCGGGTGCCGAAGCTCATCCATTGACAGGCACCCACTGGTCAGCTTCTGCTGTGACCAATCGCAGCAGAAGCAGCATGCACCCATGACCAGGAAATGCAGAATCATATTTATATATGCGATTCTGCACAGCACGGACGCCCTGTAGCAGTATACCTGCTATGGGGCAGTTAGCAAATGGAAAGAAAAAAAAAAAAAAACACAAACAATCACACACAAAACCAGAAGCCATATAACCCACAAAGTAAAATACAACAAAATGTTTTTAATTAGCAATTTGTCTTTGCAAATATGAAACTGCCACAGAAAGAAATTAGAGAGACAACATATTACTACAGTATAACCACTGACATTTCTCATTGTCCATGGGACCATGGAGGAGACTTCCGGGGCTTGTTTCGTATTGAAGTGGGGTAGGGGTCAACGGGATACATGTGTCTTACTTTAAAAGAGAAAATGGGTGGTTATGTTGCTTCGGGAGGGAGGGGAAGAAAAAAAAAAAAAATTTGGCCGTATAAACACTTCATATCAGAATAAGCCTCCTGGAAGAAAAAGGGGTTGGAAGGGAGTAGGGCTGGGGGGAAAGTCCTTTCAAGCATCCAGTTCCCTCTCAAACTCATTTTTCTTTCCACTCAGTATCCTGTACACAACTAGGTCTACCAAAAATCACGACGATGGTAACCATCTGGATCACAGTATTTTGTAACCACTACTCTGTTTGCAAATTTGCGTCCTGTGAGTCCTTGCATGGCTTTCTGACAATCATAGACTGAGGTGAATTCCACAAAGATCTGAAAGATAAAAAGGTCAAAACAATTAGCTGTGTTAATGATGCTAGTCATCCTCACAAAAAAAAAAAAAAAAAAAATAAACTTGAGGGATCAGCTTGTAAAATGCCAATTTTCAGGCCATCTTGGCTTCAGAATTTTCCTTGGTTATAACTTTCAATAAGTGCCCTATTCAAACCACTGATCTGTTTACCTGATCCAGACTTCTACAACTAGCATTTTCACAAAAAAAAAAAAAAAAAAAAAAAAAAAAAAAATTTTTATATATATATATATATATATATATATATATATATATATATATATATATATATATATATATATATATATATATATATATATATATATATATATATATATATATATATATATATATATAAGTTAGCAACTTCTATATGTCTATCCTCATTAACACCTTGTTGTGAGCCACAAATATAAGCGAACAAAAATGCAGTAACTTTACACAAGATGGGATTAGTATCCTCTGTTTAACTACTTGCCCTCCAGAGGATTTACCCCCTTCCTGACCAGGCCATTTTTGCAATATGGTGCTGCGTTATAACTGACAATTGCGGTCATGCAACGCTGCACCCAACAGAAATTTATGTTTCTTTTCCCCCACAGAGTAGAGCTTTCTTTCGGTGGTATTAGATCCCTTGTGCGTTTTTCATTTTTAGAGCTAAACAAAAAAAAAAACTATTTTGAAAAAAAAAAAAAAAAAAAAAAAAAAAAAGAAATAACTCCACTGTATTTCACATTTGAGATTAAACAAGTTAAAAAAAAAACAAAAAAAAAAAAAAAAACAACCCACTACGTGTAAGTTGGTTTACGTGAAAGTTATAGCGTTTACTAATGGCGGGTATATATACTGGGATTTTTTTTTTTCTTGTACTAGTAATGGCAGCGATCAGCAACTTATAGTGGGACTGCAGCAAGTATTCTGACACTGGGGGAACCAACTGTCACTGACGTCACCAGTGATACCAATACAGTGATCAGTGCTAATAAAAAGCATTGACATTTTACCAATGACACTGGGCAGGAAGGGGTTAACATCTCAGACGATCAAAGGGTTAAAAACTGTGTGCTGTTTTACTACATGGGCTGTGTGTTTCACTGTAAGCACACTGGCTATGATGTGCAGAAGCGAGATCTGTACCGTTTACATACAAGTCTCCCCCTCATCGGAAATCACCAGGTGCCAGGGGGGAGTCACCGGCCGGGACCCGGTGATTGACAGCCGAGGCAGCGAATGGTGGCGCGGGTAGGGCGCACGCACCCCATACCCGGAACTTAAAAATTACATATACACAGACACATGATTTTGCACACCCTTGCCGCAATATGTATTTCTGGCGATAGGGCGGAGCAGAAGTTCTTAATCTGTGCTGCAAAGTTGCTTTTTTATAGAAACCCCAGTTATTACAGGATACAATAGCAGTAGACAGTGGTGTACTACCCATGTCCCACAAGCCTTTGGGTCAAAAACCTGACAAATTATTGTATGCAAGTGAGGTAGGGACTTAAGATTGTAAGCTTTGAGGGCAGGGACTGAAGTGAATGTACATGTAAAGTGCTGCATAAAATTGTTGGCACTATATAAACAAAAAAACTGCTTTTCCACCATTGGTGGATGATGTCCCCATGCATCGATCCCATTCATGTGGGATTTTGGCACTCAACTGTGCCTCACTGCTTGTCAAAGAAGCCAAGTCACCGGTGCCTCTGAAAGTGGATGGAATCCAGGATCCAAGACAATTCATTTTATTTTACAAACCCTCTTTTTAATAAGGTTTTAATTTTATGCAAGACTGAGCTTCCACGCTGTAGCACTGCAGTTTAATCGCAGTGCAGCATAACTGCTATTTTCCATGAACTGTTAGATTGGGCGCTTTTGGCACATTTTCTGGAAGTCCTACAAGCTGCATCTTTCGTGCACCTTCAGAGAACACTCAAAAAAAACAAATCTAACAGAAGTACACTGCGCTACACCTATGCTGTGGTTTGGCCCTAAAGCTCTTTTCACAACCTCCAAATGAATAGGTTTGTCTTCAAAAACTGTTTGAAAGGTGTACTGCCAAGTGGACCATGCAAACAACCTACAGCAACAGAATAAATAGTAAAGAGGCAAGCCTAAAATGTAATGGAATGACCAGCAACAGAGGCATAACTGGAAGCCATAGAGCTGACCTACCTGCTAAGAGGCCAAAATCATGACCACGAAAACACCTATACTTCCTATAGGATGCATCTGCACAAACATTGTTTTTCTAGAGTTGTCCCAAATCTAGCTAGGATTACCTTGCCACATCCTGGTACTTCCACACCATCCACAGGCCGTGGTATTTCAATAGATTTAACGATGCCATACTTGCTACACTCATCTCTTACATCTTCGACAATCTCCTCATATTCTTCATCATCCAGTAGTTCTTCAGGCAAAACCATATTCATCAGACACAATACCTCTGTAGGGTGTCCTCCCATTTGCACCTGAGAACTCATGAGTCCAGGTACTTGAAGAGTTACTGGAGTTTGGTTTATCGTGCTCTACAATAAAAAAAAAAAAAAAAAAAAAAAAAAAAAAAAAAGGTTTTTATGTGTGAACCACCATATTTCATAATGTAAACAACACGTTAAGGGAGTGGAGGGGGGGGGGGGGGATGGGGGTGTTAACATGATTATTGGCTAAACAATCGTCACAGCTCAAGTGTCCATATAATTGAAATTCATACAATATCAAAAATCTAAAAGAATGTAAAAACCTTTACATTTCAGAAAAATATACTTTATGGTTCTTTCCTCCATATACCAATAAAATTCCTCCCCTCGATCATCCTGGTTATATAATTTTTTTTTTTCCTTTCCTTTTTCCAAAAATGTTGAGGGCTCTCATGGATTCTATCAGCCATGAAATTACTTTGCTTACACACCCACACAGCTACAGTATGTTTTTCAAAGGAGGAGGAATAGATCAGACTGATTTTTGACTGTCACCATTTCATGTACCTAAAAATATGAGAGATTCTCAAGTTAAGAAACAAGAGCCTTGTGTTTGAATTGCCTTTGGTATTAAATTATAAAACACCCCCCCATCCCCCCAAAAAAACAAACAAACAAACCCCCACAAAACACCAACACAGCAGTATTTCCATAAACAATGTATGAACTACCTAAAGCTAAAACACCCCAGGCAAGCCACTAAATTACACATTAAAATGCTTATATGACAGATGTTGTATTGATACACAAAAATAAAATAAATTGTCTTTTTTTCCTCCTTTCTTCATTTCTGTGATTTACACAGGTCTGACAACTACCCTATCTTGTAGGGGAGGCAAGCTGATATTTCTCTGCTGCAATTTCACCTTCTAACCATCATGCAACTAAACAGTGGCAAAAGCAGCACACTAGTTGCATACTAGCACAAGACAGACGTCCCTGTTAGAGGATGCCCTCCAGGGCTGCGCTGTCACTGCTCAGGTGCTTGCATCTTTTCCCAGTCTTCCTTCTGGGTTTACTCTGTTCAGCTGGTTAAAATATATATGCCGCGATAACATCACTCGATGACATCATTGCGTATTCACGACTCAATGTACATTACCCACTGATAGGCTAGAGAAGCATTTATGACCGAGGAGACCATTAGGGTCTCTTCTGTCATAAAGCTCTGCCTATCAACAGTTTTTTAAATTTTGAGCTTGAACAGTGGTAGCTGAAGTTCAGCTTTAATGCAGTAGTGAAGTCTATCTAGACAGCAACATGGTCAGTCTTGAGGTTGTTTTTTTGAAGTTGTATCCATTACTCCTCCAGTGGAGACACCAAGAAAGAAATGTGTTACTGCTCAGATCAGGTGAAGGGGGGGGGGGGGGGGGGGGGGGGGGAGAAACCCCATTGAATGCAGATCCTACCAATTAAAAGGAGGAGCTCCAGTCAATTTGGAGTTTATTTAAAGTCAGCAGCTACCAAAAAAAACTGTAGCTGCTGACTTATTAGACAGACGCTTACCTGTCCCAGCAATGTGGTCACATGAGCCACTCTTTACATTGCCGTACTGTCCCTATCTTGACCGAGAACCTGGCTGTGACAGCTTGCAGTTTCACAGCCCGGCATCCACTGTGCATGCGCATTGACCTTTGTGAATGGTCCCATAGTCTACTAGGACCCGTCACGTGGCCCAGAAGACTGCGGGCAAGGAGTGCTATGGGAGAACTTCAGCTCCGATCCCCCAGACGGTCAGAGAGGGTACCTGTCAAAACCAGGTACCAGTTCCCAACCCCCAAAAAAAGGCTATAAGTGCAGATTCCTTAAATTGGAACTTACCCTTTTGGGTAGAGCCCCACTTTAAAGATTGCTAGAGTCGATATATAATAAATTGCTATTTTAGGGCTTAATACGGCTTTAAGCCAGCATGCAACATGCAGAGCAAGCCATTAATGAGCATTCAGGAAATCAGGATGAGTGATTCCTCCAATAAAGTCCATATCTATCCGTAAGATGCATAGATAAAACCCACACGTGCCCAGCAGTAAAGAGGAACATTAAAAAAGGGATGCCCTGTGAAAGTTATAGCAAAGTGGAGCTCATTTTCCCCAAGTTATCAAATTTCACATTTCATTTAAGGGTGAAACCCAACTGCCTTACATTCGCACAGTCCAAATTTTGCTTCATGCTAGAAAAGAGGCCTTACCAATGTTGCATTCTTTGCACCAACGCTTGCTCTTTGTACAAGAAGCTTTTTGTCTCCCAGTTGCATTCCATTAAGACCAGCAATAGCCTAAAAAAAAAAAAAAAAAAAGCCGTTAAATTGAAAGCAGTGAACACTATGAAAGCTCCATTCAAAAATTCACAGTACAGTAATAACACACAAATCAGTTTATAACCCTAACTAGCGTACCGATTGGATTTAACCACTGTAATTGCATTATGTTTAGCATCATCCATTTTACATTCACTATTCATGCAAACTTCAAGTCAGAGCAAAGTGAAACTCTTAAAGTACAACTAAAAAGGTAAAACCGTAAAGATTTGGATAGAGTGGAGAGAGGAATTAGAACACCTGTCAGGTTTTTACTGCTGTCTGTGCCCCCATCAGGGAAATTAACCCTCTCTCAGTTTGACTGGTTTATCAAGATCATCGAAAGTAAAAATAAACCTCACATTTTGTGTTGTCCCCAAAAAGTTAGAGGGGTAATTTTACAATGGGGGACACTAGTTCTGGTGACCAGGGGAGTTCCCAAAGAATTCCTAATTTGCAGAGACTCACTTCCTGTTGTGGCTATTGGACAGGAAGTGAAGGTAAATCTCCACAATGGGACACAGATGGCAAATATAAAAAAAAAAAAAAAAAAAAAAAAAAAAAAAAAAATCGATCTTGGATTTAGTTCCACTTTAACAGAAGAGTCTGAGGTTTAACTCTTCAAGGAGCAGGTCAATACAACGTTAAGTGCACAATGTGCTGAATGCTGCACAAGAACATTTTACTATTACACTGAAATTTGGCAAAGTCAACAAAATGAAACTCCGTGTGCACTAACCCTTAGCACCTCTGAACAGTAGGATTCCAGAAACACATTAGTAGGACTGCAATCCAGTGCCAATTAAAGTATAGCTTTTAGCATAAAAAGAGGTGGGGAAAATAAAACTGAAGGATTTGCTTTATCCACTGCCTGAGCTCAGTGCTGAAAACAGACATGTCTAGCTGTTACAGAAAAGGAGAGTTAATATTCGGTTCCTTTCATGCTATTCCTACAACACTGACAAAATTACAGTGTCAGCATTGTGCTCAGGCAGAATATGTGTGCAGCTAACATGCAGACAACACTTCTAGGAGAAAGAATGCAAGTTCATTACAGGATAAAAGGCAAGAACATACCATTATATGCTGCTTCAAATCACTTTGGCTTTTTTTTTTTTTTTAATCCCATGTTTGAGCATTATTTCAAGGCACTGACAAAAGCTTCCTACCTGATCTGTGACATTGATATCCACATATTCACAGAAAGCATATCCCTTTGAGAGACCTGTAGCACTGTCTTTCACCAAATTAAAAGCTTTCAAAGGTCCAAAAGATGTGAGCAACTCTTTAACCTGTTAAGACAATAATCACAAGATTAAAAAAAAACAAAAAACAAGGGAACATATCAAATTATTAAATGGTTCAATCTACATTTAAAAAAAAAAAAAAAAAAAGAAGAAGGAAAATGCTCAATAGTTCAGTTTATTGCACATTTTAAATTACAAAAAGAAGAAAAAAAACAAAACAATAAAAGTAGACAAGTGAAAGTTAAAGTACCACATGTACTAGCTGAACCTGTACAGATTAACAAAGCCAAAACCAATCCCAACTCCTAACATGAAACATTAGATTAAAAAAAATAAAAGCCTATGCATGTACAGAATGTCAGATGGGGATTTGCAGACTCCTTGATACCAGACTTGACAGTGCCTATCGAGCACTAGGGTTAGCCATTTCTGCCCCTTATGCGCGCCCCCACCACCAAATTTAGTTGCATTTTAAAGATTTTGAGCAAAAGACCTGAAAATTAATGTGCAACTGAAAAAACAAATTGTATACAAAAATGGCAAAGGCCAATCAGGTATTACACAATGCATGATATATACACAGTACACATGTATAGACACCTGCTAAGGGGGAGAGAAGAAGAAAGAAAAACTGCCAAAAAACGGTCTAAATGGAGATGAAGCAAAAGGCTTCCCAAAAAAACTATCTACAGACCATAAAAAAAAAAAAAAAAATGAGCAGTAGAGAAATAACGTGTACTATTTAAAAAGGCATTTTCTGCTTAAAAACCAAAAAAGAAAATCCACTTTTTACATTCAGAATGCATACATGCCATTTTTTATGTTTTGTTTTTTTTTTTATTAAAAACTGAAAAATAAAAGTAAAAAAAAAAAAAAAAAAAAAAAAAAGATTTACAAGAATTAAGACAACCTTCTTGAAAAAACGTGCCATTATCTGCAAAAGAAGGCAGTAAATACTCATCTGTCCTTGGGCCCAGTCAGCCACACGCAGCTTGATCAATAGAACTGGTCCCTCGAAGTCTGCTAAGAAACCAGCACTAGGATTGTCTGTTTCCTTGGTCCTCAAACTCTCCCTGCCTACTCCCTTTGAATCACTGCAGGTGAAAGTAGTGGCATAAGGTCAGAATATCCTGCGAGTTGCAGGGGGACAAAACCAAAAAACACTTTCAGGGGAGCTAGCTTCCCAGTTAGTTCTAAGTGTTTAGTGGTAGAGGCATCAGGAAAGGTGAGCATTTACTGCATTTGTTTAAAAGGAAAAGCACTTAAAACGTTTAGCCAGGATCACTTAATGTATATATAAAACCAAAAACTTTTTTCGGTTTTGGATAGATTAAGGAATGGTTACTTTTAGTGCTGAAAAAAATGCCAACAGAAGGACATGTCATGTGACAGCTAACATTTGGGATTTCCCATTCCTTTCCGCATTAGATACAATGGAACCAAGACAAAGGAAAGGTCAGTCCTAGTAAAAACGCAAACAAAACCCTGACAAGGATTTAAACACTTCTCATCCTATTTAAAACATTTTATTTTTTGGGTTTACATACACCAAGGGAAAAGAGTTGCAAAATTATGTGCAGGTATGTAGCCTTGGTATGTCAGGTACCCAACACAATGTTTGTTTATAAAATTCCCATGTAGATAGAACATGCAATTTGTTTTTGTTTTTCTTTAACTTCCAAAAGATGAAAAATCTGAGCCCTTCAGTCTCAGAATATTTTTCTGCTTGTACACTTCTCCAGTGAGACTGTTTTGTCCATTTCTACATTAAAATAAAAATTATATAATAAACAGCGCAAAACAATACCCAACAAATTTCACATAAGGAATAAAGTGAAAAACTCATATTTTGATTTAAAGTGTCCAAAATTAATGTGTCCAAAATAAATAAAATAAATAAATATAATTTTATTTTTTTTGGACACATTAATTTTGGACACTTTAAATCAAAATATGAGTTTTTCACTTTATTCCTTTATTATGTGAAATTTGTTGGGTATTGTTTTGCGCTTTTTATTCTATAATTTTTATGATTTGGTGTTTACACTAGTGCACAGCAGCATTTGAAATTTTAGGGGTGGGGATTGTTCTGTGGTGCAGGAGTATATATTTATATATTTCTACATTAAAATAAAACCTTTCCTGTGAGAAACATGGGGGCCCGTCACCACTGACTACATAGCACGTCAGACTGCTGTGCTGACAATAACTTCACAAATTCAAAGTATGCAGAGCAAAATACTGGACTTTACTATTCATACTTGATCCAATCTGGTGACTCTCACTGCTGAATCCAGTGCATTTCACAACAGCCAAGCATTCTCAGAGGAAAGTTGGCAATGGGGGTGAACATTTATTCTAAGATTGGTTTAAAGCAAACCTTTCCTAAGAAACATCCGATAACCCAAATGCAGCTCTGTTACAGAATTTCTTTAGAAAGTATCACAACATCTTGAAAATCTTGCATTTTAGGCTTTACATGTAAAAGTGCTTAGAGTGCACCCTTGATGCCTGCTGAGCCATCCGCAAACCAAACCTAAGAAATGCTGTTCTCAGGGAAACCATTGTCCTGCAAAACCGTACAGAATCGAGGCCATACCAAGCGTTCAAGATACTGAAAAGTTTGAATTTTTTTTTTCCCACTGTAGATAGAGATTGAAATCCTGGAAAAATACAGCCTGGTAGAATAAAAGCTGAGTGCACTTCTGGAATCACTACCTATATAAATATACATATAGTTTCAAAGTGCACATGTACCCAGACAACAGAAATTAATCTATCTGCATATTCTTATATTCAAATTCAAGGATTGTTTGAAAATCTCCCTAATACTAAACCTTTGCCAGAGAGGAAACAAAAACACACTAAACCCAAGCAAGTTAATTCCACACTTTAAGAGGGTAGGATGCCATCATTGTGTATACAGCTATACACAGATTCCATGAGGAGGAATCAGAAAGTGCTCAAGTCGCTGCCCATTATCAGCTGTTTGAGACCAATTCCCATCATGCAATGGTAGTTAGTTTACCTAATGGAAATGCATGTGGGCAGGTTTGCGGCAATCAAAAGTGTACCAGTTAGACTTCTGAATCCACCCACATCACAGCATGCTGCCTTAGTTGAAAGTATTCCAATGCATTCCTACAGCAATCTTCATTACATGAAAAAAGGGACATAAAAAGGGCATTAAAGTGTAACTAAAGGCAAAAAACTTTTTTTTTTCAGTTCTGGATAGAGTGGAAAGATTATAACAACTGAGCTTGTTATTGCTGCCTGTGCCCGTTAGGGAGATTCAGTGTCACCATTTGTCTTGTTTACCGTTTTAAGTGAAAGTAAAAAGAAAATACCAAGTTTTGGGTTGACATCAAAACACTAGAGAAGGAAAAAATCTTTCACTGGGGACACTAGTTCTGGTGACACAAGGATTCCCTCACTTTGGAGTTTTCCCTCAATTTCCTTACCCATAGTCAATATTTCTCATAGAAAGTGAGAGAAATGCATCCCCCTCTGGAGAAGGGAAAAAAAAAAAAGACAACAGCAAACCCACGCACACATGGAAGGTGTTCTGCTTTCCATTACACTATATCCAAAAGTGAAAAGTTCTACATTTTGTTACACTTTTACTGTTCAATTCACTGGTAAATAAAAAAAAAAAAAAAAAAAAAAGCTCGACAACATTTATAAATTGTGTCCCTTGGGATTAACATCTGAAAACAGGATCACAAATAGGCCTTCCTGGGTTAATTAACCAACAAGCAGGGATGCACAAAATCAGGTACACACAAATACACACACGTGATTTACCATTATCGGGGTGGGGGGGGCTGGGGTGTGTGCTCCCTACCTGCACCGCTATTGGCTCCTCGGCTTATCAATCACCAGTTCCCGGCCACTGATTCTCGGCCAGGACTTGGGGATTGTCAGCAGGGGAAAGGTCTATTTGTAAACACAGATCTCTACCCTGACAGCACAAACAGGCCGCTTTGTTAACCCTTTGATCGCCCCAAAGTTAACCCCTTACTGCCCAGTGTCAGTGCTTTTTATTAACACTGATCACTGTATTCATGTCACTGGGGATGTCAAAGGCAGTTAGTTCGGGGGGAATGCAGTGGCAGAATGCTCGCCGCAGTCCCGCAATAAGTCACCGATCACTGCCATTACTGGTAGGAGAAAAAAAAAATAAAAAAATCATTTTATGTACAAAGTTGCATGACTGCACAATCAGTTAAAAGTAATGCAGAGCCATATCGCAAAAAAAAACACCCAGGTCAGGAAAGGGGGAAATCCTCTGGAGGGCAAGTGGTTAAAAGCATTTTAAAAAATCTAAACACCTTATTTTGCCTGCTATATCTCCCCCACCCCCAACCATTAGCCCTTCTGCAGGCAAATAGCAGGGCTCACCTTCCAGGTGAAAGCATTCGGGTGGCTGCGTTGGCGCCTGGTTGCCTTCACACACAGCCCACTACAGTGCCAGACTCTGCCCCCTCCAGTGCAAACATCCCCCCCACCGTACTCCACTTGGCCATCTGCACGCCCGGGACTGGTTCAGCATGCACCGCCGGCTGGAGGGGAGGGAGGGAAGCGGACACGTCTGCTCCCCTCCTTGTCTTGACCCAGAAGTGACATTATGTCACTTTGAGTCCCCGGTCACAGATTTCCCAGCCATTGAGGCCAGGAAAGAATGTAATGCAGTGTGATGTACACTGCATTACATTGAGGAGACATGCAGGGTCTTTGAGACCCTCGATGTCTCAGAGAAACGGTCACCAAAATTCACCACATAAGGGACTTTGTTCCCTATGTGATGGAAAAAATAAAAAATTGCAAAAAAAAAAAAAAAAAAATTAAAGTTACACCGAAGCACGTAACATCAACTTTCTGGGGCAACAGCAGCCAATAGCTGTACTAAAAAAAAAAAAAAAAAAAAAGGAGAAAGATCCAACTCAAATTCATTTAAGTTGGGATTGTTGAGAGGATGGTGTGTGACAAAAACGAGAAGGACACACACACACACACACACACACACACACACACACACCTCGAAA